TCAGAAAAAAAAAATGGAGACCAAAAGATATTGAATTGATGTCGTTAATGTATTGAAAGAAAAAAAACCATACTGTCTAACAGAATTAAATATTTAGTAAAATATCCTTGAGGGCCTGGGGCTGGGGGATGTAGATCAGTGGTAAAGTGTTTGTCTGGTATGTGGGAAGCCCTGAACTCAAGCCCCACCACTATCAAAAATTATCCTTCAGAAATGAAGATGAAATAAATTTTATGTTTGGTACTATCACCTCCCTTGTGTCTCCCACTTCACATTCTTTTTTGTTTAAGTATTTAATTCAAACTCCCTATATGAGTACTCAATATCATTTTGTTGTTCTCTAGCTGCTCGGGTGACATGAGTCAGGTTGAGTAAATAATCCTTCATCATGATTTACTCTCTCCATTTATATACCATGTTGCATGTATTCTCTTCATCATCAAACTTACTCTATAATATGCCATGTTGAGAGTATTAAAACAGAAGTTTTCATGGGGTTTGTTGGTTAACATTAATTGATAAGAAAAAACTAATATCTGAGGAAAATAATAATACTTATTGGTTCTGTTTGCTACATTGTGCCTCTTGAAAGAATTTTCTGTTTCTTTCATGAGTTTTTGGTGATAGTACATTAAAAATTGTAAGACTGTGATTGCATGTATCTCAAGTACTCAAAGACATCTAAAGCAATCTTTTACTTCAACAGTTAACCAGAATTGTGTTAATTACTGTATGACTAAGTTACAGTGGTAATATTTTCAAATCAGGCAATTAAAACCACAATGAAGCATTCTCTCCACATGATTAATGGGACATTTGCATATAAACAGACAACATAAAAGCCTTCCACTTGGGTTTTGTTTTTGAAATTATTTTCCAAGTGTGATATTATTGTAATGGACATCACAATGGATTTATTTTTAAATTTAAATTTTTATGGGATGAGTAGATCTTTTTATAGTATCAATGAAAGGGACATATTTTTCTTTTTGCCAGTATTCTTACTTGGTCTTTTCATTTTTTTAACTTTTTTTAATTTGTTCTTTTTAAGTATACATGACAGTAGAATGTATTTTGACATAACATACCTACATGGAGTATAATGTATCATTCTTGTGATTGTATATGCTATGAAGTAAGACTGGTTGTGCATTCATATATGAACATGGGAAAGTTATGTCAGATTCATTCTACTGTCTTTCCCATTTCTATCCCCTCCCATCCTCCCACATCTAATCTGGTGAACCTCCTCTTCTGTCCCCACCTATTGTGAGTCAGCATCCACATGTCAAAGAACATTACGCCTTTCGTTTTTTGGAATTGGCTTATTTTGCTTAGCATGGTATTTTCCAGCTCCATCAATTTACTTGCAATTGCCATAATTTCATTCTTCTTTAAGTTTGAGTAATACTTCATTGTGTATATATACTTCATTTTCTTTATCAATTCATTTGTTGAAGGGCACCTAGGTTGGTTTCATAGCTTAGCTATTGTGAATTGAGCTTCTAAGAACATTGATGTGGCTGCATCACTACAGTATGCTTATTTTATGTCTTTTGGGTATATGCCGATGTGTGGGATTAATTGGGTCAAATAATGGTTCCATTTCAAGTTTTCTGAGGAATCTCCATACTGCTTTCCAGACTGGTTGCACCAATTTTCAGTTACACCAGCAATGTATAAGTGTACCTTTTCTGCCACATCCAAAGTTAATCAGAAGGGGCAAAGAAGGACATTTCATACTGCTTAAGGGAATTATACATCACCAAGACATAACAATCATAAATATTTATGCCACAAAAAATGAAGCATATACATACATCAAACAAACCCTTCTCAATTTCAAGAAGCAAATAGAACACAATACAACAATACTTGGTGACTTTCCAATACCTCTCTCACCACTGAATAGATCCTCCAAACAAAAATTAAATAAAATAGCTATAGAACTAAAAATATCCAATTAATAATTTAGGTTTGCTCTTTTTAGATAGGAATATTTTTTCATCAACTAATAGCAGACTTGCAGAAAGATTTTTAAAAGTATAAAAAACTCCTTCTCCTTTAGCTAATTCTGGTGCTTCACATGCCTTTCTTATTCTTTTAGGCAATGACTATCACCAAAATTTATAAAAATATACACACATACAAAATATTATACTATAACACTGTAAAATACCACTTAATTTATAACTAGTCTAATACTTCAACTATAACGTTATCTTTTTTTGTTTGGTTGTTTTTGTTTTTGTTGTGCAGTACTAGGGATTGTCTCGTCTTTTTAGTCTTCATTAATTTGGAGACTTTAATGATATTGACCTTACTGAAGAATCCAGGCCTTTTGCCTTTTAAAATTTCCAATAGTCTGGGATTACCTAATGAACAGATTCAGGGAAACACTCTATTACTGAGCTATATCTCCAGCTCCTTAAATATTTTTATCTGATCTCATATAATTGGATAAACTTTGCACAAAAAGTCATTACTCTTTGGTTAGAAAGACAATGAAGGGAAGTTGTGATTGTTTCCATTTTTTATTATATTCTCTCTCTCTCTTCCCTTACCCCTCTCCTCTTCTTCCCTGTTTCCTTCTACCCCTCATACATTATTTTTATTTTTTGCTGAATCTTTATTGAAAATAAATTGTAGACATCATGCCAAAATACTTCAGCAAGTATCTTCTAAGGTGTTGGGCACTCTCCTACATAGGGCCAATACTGTTATCCTTCCTAAAAAATAATAGTTATACAATTTTCAAATATATGATCTATTTTCAACATATCACTTTTTATTCTAGAGGGCTTCTGTTTAATATAAAATCCAATAATGAAATAATTCATTGTCATGTCCCTTTAGTCTCTTTTAATATGGAACAATATCTCTGACTTTCATGACATTGAACTTTTTGAATAATTCAGGCCATTTGCCATGTAAAATGTCCAACAGTCTGGGATTACATAACAAATGCATTCAGGCTAAATATTTTTAGCATGAATACTATGTAGATGATGATGTGTATTCCCAATTGCATCACTCCAGAAGGCACATCACATCAATTTGTTCTGTTATTGTTCTGATTACCTTGGCTAAAGATATACACTGTTCTCTCCATTATAAAAGTAAATTTTCTTTTTTAATTAGTAATAGGTGGGATGATACTTCATGTTGATATAAATACCCCAGTTCACAACAACCTTTCACCCATTTGTTTTGGCATCTAGTGATGGTCCTTAACTGAGTAAATATTACATTGGGAATTGTAAAATTTGCTCCTTTTTATACTTTGATTTGCAACTAAATTTTTTCTATAATGCAAAGTTTTCCCTTTTCCTCAATATATTTTTTAATATGATAGAGTACTCATATATTCTTAAATTTTACTAAATGTTTTAAAGTTAATTACCATCACATCTTGGTGTTTTAATTATTCTAAATTTTAATAGTGGATGCCTTCTCAAAATAGTTCTTATACATTTTGATAGACCCAGTAGTCATTAGACATTTCTTTTTTGATACAATAAGATGTCCTAGGATTACCTTGTTCTTTTTCAGTTACAGAGTTGTAATCAGCCATTGCTTCAACTGAACTTGGCTTCTGTTAATGTGGAGTGGTATAAAGAAATCAAAATTTAGTCGATAAATATGCTCATTGCTACTATAGTATTATTTCTTGTAAGCTTCTTTTAGTAGACATACCTAGAAACTGTGAATGTGTGTATATTTGTGTTTAAATCATAGGTTCATACTGAACTCTATTATAAATTTAGTTTCACAGAATGCTTTATCATATGCTATATTCCACACTTATTTCCCCATACCTACTATCAAATACCTGGCTCATAAAATTATCAAATAAAAATTACCAACATAAAATTGTAGAGTCTACAATTAACACAAAATAGTTTCAGAATTATTAATCCAATGTCAATATTAATAATTCAACTGAGAAAAATTCAATATTTTTATTGTATATATATAATTAAATATGAATGCATAGGTAGAATATAATCATAAAAATTGCTTCAGTTAGTAATTCTGTATGTTTATATTTTTATTTGATATACAACTACATTTACTGGTTTCTGTATTTAGTTTTGGTGTTTCCTTTTTCAGTATTTTTATTTAATTATATTTTCAAAAGTAAAAGCTATATGTGTATATTTCAAAAATCAAAATTATACAAAATGTTTACAAAGTATCAATTTCATCTCTATCACCCACACTTCATTACCACTCATTCTTGGAAATATCTGTCCTCAGTTAATTTCTGGATTTGCTTTTTTAGTTTATCTTTTGCAAATAAAAGCAAATACCCACATTATCACTAAAAGATGCCTTGTTTTGATGTGTTGTTTAGATGCTTGAGAAATAGATTGTGACACGACTAATTTTATATTTCAAAATTTTAAGCTCATGTCAGAACAGGTACCAAATGCTTAACAGCTATTTTCAGTTTTAAAAGACGTATGAATTTGAGCAGGGAGAAAGGATAGGAAAGGGAAGGATAATAGAATCAAATTGACCACACTATATCATGTGTATGTATGAATCTATCACTATGAATATATCACAGTGAATTCATTTTTATGCATAACTATACTAATTGAAAAATATATAGAAAGAAGACCAATAGAATAGAGGAGATGGATCAGGGTAAGGGATGGGGAAGGGGATAGTCCTAGGGGCTGAAATACAGCAAATTGTTATATTCATTTATGAATATGCCTAAATTAAATCCAAAATTATGCAGAACTATAATGCACTAATAAAAATTTATGATTTCTTAACAGGAAAACCAAGATAAACATGATTAGATGTTATTTTTCTTTATTCTCCAATTTAGTTGAATATTTTTTAAATTATTAAATAATTTAAACAATTTAAAAAATGTAACCTGTACTCAGAGACTTCCTCACATATCTTAACATGTGTCTACTAACTTTCAGATTTTTAAAATTCTAACAGTCAACCCTTTCCTTTCATCTCTTTGTTTCCTACAGTTGTTTGACCGCTATGATGGTGTTTTAAAAGCAGAAGGAGGATCTTTGGGAGAACCTATGGGGGAAGCAACTAGAAGATCTTCTGAGGAACCTGTCTGGAGAACAATGGAAGGACCTGCTAGGGCACCTGAAAGAGGACTTCTTGTGAGACCCAAAGAAAGCCCTGCTACAAGTCCTGCAATGGAATATTCTGAGAAACATGCTAGGGGACGTACCCTGAGTCCTACCCGGGGATTTGCTGTGCATCTTGCAAGGGATCAGTCTGTGAGTCCTGCAAGGGGTCCTTCTCTGAATCCTACAATAGGCCACACTGAGAGACATGCAAGGGGACGTAGCATGAGTCCTATAAGGAAGCTTGCTGTGAATTCTGTAAGAGGCTGTGCTGTGAGTCCTGCAAAACAACATGACAAAAAGAGAAATGAAAAGGAAAGTGCTGTGAGTCCTACCAATCATCTTTCTGTAAGATCTTCAGCGGGATTTACTGTGAGTCCTGAAAGAGGCCATGCTGATAGACCTGCTAGGGGACGTGCCATGAGTCCTACAAGAGGACGTGCTGTTAGTGCTGCAAGAGAGTTTTCTGTGAGACCTGTAAGCAGATGTGCAGTGAGTCCTGCAAGGCACCAATCTGTGAGCCCTTCAAGAGGTCGTTCTGTGAGTTCTGCAAGAGGACATGCTGAGAGATACGCAAGGGGACATCCAAGAGAACATGCCATAACAAGGCATCCTGCAAGAGGTCATGCTGAGAGTCCTGCAAGAGTACATGCTGAGAGACATGGTATGAGACATATTATGAGTCCTGTAGGAGGATATGTTGAAAGACCAGCAAGGCGACATACTGTGAGTCCTTCAAGGAGAAATGCTACGAGTCCTACACAAGGACTTGCTATGGGACCAGCAAGAAGACCTCCGATGAGACCTGAAGGAGAATTTGTTCTGGGAGCTGCAGTGGAACTTACTGTGAAACCAGCAGAAGGATATGCTGAGGAAACATCTAGATCTACAAAAAAATCTACACAGTATGTGGTATTTTTTTTTTTTTGTGTGTGTGTGTGTGTGTATCCTTTCATATACTAAGTTCCTATATATTATATAATTAAGACTGCATTTTTCATCAAGTCATTAAATGTGAGTCTAAAGACATGTAGGCATTATTTTAAAAATTTTCAAGAAAGGATTTCATATCTTGTGATTTTTCTAGAAAACATTTTCTCTTAGTAAAAGGGAACATGTTTTTGTTGTTGTTGTTATTTTTAAGTGCTTTGCATTTATCCCCATCTTCCCTTCATAAGTGGATATGAAGATAATAAACAAAATACTGAATATTTCTATAACATTCTGAACTGTTGAAAATTGATACAGTTATCTTCCAGAAAGATAGATATAATTTCAACATGTTCCCCACCAAACACCAAATATAGAAAACATTTCTACCATCATTTTGAATAGTCAAGAGATGATAATGTTCTTAGGGTTAGAACACCCTAAGGCAATTTTTCAAAATATAATCCAACATTATCAACTTTGTTGGAAACAGTTTTCTCAGATACTTTGAGCACTGGCAACTTTAAGTTGCTTATACTCTAAAGAAAAGTTACCAATTTCTAGAGTAAAATTTGTCATGAAAACTTCTATAAAAAAAGTAAAAATATATAAATATATACAAAAATATAAAAACAAAATATAAAATATAAAATATATAAATATAAAATATAAAATATAAATATATATAAAATATAAAATATATATAAAATATAAAATATATAATATAAATATAAATATAAATATAAATATAAAATATATATAAAATATAAAATATAAATATATACATATAAAATATAAAGAGTAAACTATCATATAAATATAAAAAATTAAAAATTAATGATTTTTTAAAATTCTTCCTTGTTACAGATTTAGAAAATACATCAGAACTAAACCCACTTAATTTCTTTAATTATTACAATAATAGGGCAATTTCCTATTTATAGAAATCCAAATATTAGGATGATGCTTATGTATTCCTTTCAAGGAATATTTACAAATTAAGATTATAGTGGGTTTTTTATTTTGTTTTTAATTTTAAGTCTCTTGCTGATTAAAACATGCTCTGACAAATGAGTGAGAGTGGCTTGATAATGGCTACCTAATCTGAACAATAATACTTAATGTAGTCTTATTTAATGGTGAGGCAAACTTGATTTTCCTGTCTCTCTCTTTTCTTAATCAATTCCCAGATATTATAAAAGAGCTAAACAAGCATTTTGTCTTTTATCACCTGATAGAGGAAATTCTAAGATACCATACATATATAGGTAAATTTTTAGATTTTAATTTCTACTAAGTAAATTATTACCACTTTCTCCTTGATGTCTACTATTTATAATAGTTTAATTTAAACTCCTCCTGACCTTGTATATTAGATATCAAAATCATTCCATCCCAAGGAGCTCTTGCACTACTAGAGTTATTATGAATAATGCTTAAGAATAAGTTCATTTATATTTTTTGCATTACTAGGTATTATTCATGCTAGGCCAGGACTCTATCACTGAGCTACATTCCCAGCCCATTATTTACTTTTTAAATTTCTAGCTGCTCTTCACTAGCTTACCATTCCCATGTATACCTAAATGTATATGCAATTATATTGTTCCTTTGGAACTCTGTTATTAGTTTCCATCATTTTTCACCTATAATCTGAAGCAAACATTGCATGTGTCATGATGATGCTGGTCAGTTGAATTGACAAATACCTTTCCCCAAACCTGAGAATATAATTTGGTTTCATTAATTGTCTCTAATTCCACCACTCCTCATACAGATTACCAGTTATGGTTATGCTTTCTTTGAGGTTCCTTGGTAATTAAACATCACACTTTATTTTTTCCACTTTCCTTCAAATGTCAACTCACAAATCTTTTCAGATAAAATTAGCTTACTGAAAAAGTCTAAAAAACATTCTTAAAAATATTCATGCAATTAAAAAACTGTCTTACATCAGAAACTATTAAGTCATATTTTAAGCTATTTAAAATACTCTTAATGAAGATATTTTATATATATATATATATATATATATATATATATATATACACACACACACACACACACACACACACACAAACACAATAAATTTTGGGACCACAATTATACATTATACATCTATGCATTTATAACCGCTGAGGAAAGGGACAGTACTGAGTGTGTATGAACTCAATAAGTACTTCTGGAAAAATGAATGAGATCTCAAAAATTAAACTTAGAAGGAGTTAGTCACAATACTTGGGAAGTCAGACTAAGTGGGAATTTCATATCACTACTTGTTAACTTCCAGGTGCCAAGGAAATTTATTTAATATTCTTAACACTAGTTTTCCATATTGGCTACCTGTTATCTTCATTTACTTGACATATCTATTGTGTTTAATAATATTTTCTAGGGTTTGTAGGAGGTAAGGGACTTACTGCTGATTTTACAGAGGTAAGGTTAACAATTAAAGGAAAGAATTGCACATGAACTGTTTGTAAAACCTAGATGAAATGGACAAACTCTAGAAACACTACCTAGCAAGACTCTACCATAAAAAAATAGGAAATGTGAATAAGACTAATAAACTAGTAAGAAAATTGAGTAAGTAGTCAGCAACTTCTCAAAAAAAAAAGAATCCTCTGAATTAAATGGCTTCACTGGCAAATTCTTAAAAGATTTAAAGAAGGGACTGGGATTGTGACTCAGCAGTAGAGCGCTCCCCTAGCACGGGCGGGATCCAGGTTGGATCCTCAGCACCACATAAAAATAAAGGCATTGTGTTGTGTCCATCTACACGTACAAAATAAAATATTTTTTAAAAGTCCTGCATTAAATAAATCTTGAACTTTATCCAATACAAATTTAAAAGAAAAGATTTAAAGAAGAGTTAAAACCATATTTGCACTTAATTATCAGTGTCCATTAATTTCCTGATACCAAAGTCAGAGATACAAAAAAAATGAAAGACAATAAAATAAAACTGTTGCCAAATATTACCTATAAATACTGTAAAAAATTCTTAAGAAAGTACTAGCTAGCATGAGTCAACAAAACATTAAAGGATTATGTGTCATGACTGTGTTGGACAACCTTGCATAGATGTGACCAAAATACCTAATGAGAATAACATAGAGGGGCTAGGGTTATAGCTCAGTGGCAGAGCACTTGTCTCTCACAGGTGAGGCACTGGATTCTATCCTCAGCACCACATAAAACAAATAAATAAAATAAAGAGATTTTGTCCATGTAAAATAAAAAAGAATTTTAAAAAGAACAACATAGAAGATGTAAAGTTTATTTGGCTCATGGTTTCAGAGGTTTTAGTTCATGGTGTACTGACTCCATTGTTCTGGTCATATGATGAAAGGGTGTGGTGGAAGAGTGCTGCTCACCTCTGGGCAGCCAGGAAGGAAAGAATGAGAGAGAGTGGCATCAGGGAGAAAGGAGCTTCAGGGAAGATGAACTCTTCCAAGTCACATGCCCAGTGACACATCCTCCTGCCACACTCTACCTACCTGCAGTTATCACCCAGTTAGTCCATTGAGAGTGACTTATTTCCAGATTTTATAATACAATCATTTATCTCTGAATATTCTTACATTAACATGGGAGATTTGGGAGGACACACCATATCTAAGCTATAACAATGGCTGAATAGCATTTATTTTATGAGCACAGTATAACTTAGGAAAAGCCATGAACATTATGCAGAACAATAACAGAATGAAGGAAGAAGTCACATAATAATTCATTAATGCAGAAAATCATCTTGCTGAATTCAATATCCTTTCATGAGGAAAATAACAAACAAGGAAGATAAGGAAGCTACTTTAACATAGTAAAAGCCATATATGAAAAATACACAGCCAACATCATAATAGAGAAACTTCCATTTAAGATCAGGGACAAATCAAGGACACCTGTATTCACTTCTATTCAAAATAATATTGCTTATTCTAGCCAGAATAATTGGGCAAGCAAAGGAAATAAGATAAATCTGAATTAGAAGGTAGGTATTCCTATTTTCCTCTATTTTCATAAATATGGTATTATATACAGAAAATCTTTAAAAATTCACAAGAACTATTAAAATGAATAACCAAATTTATCAAAGTTGCAGTGCACAAAATAAACACCTATAAATCAATTGCACTTCTATACACTAACAATGAACAATAAGAAATGGAAATTAAGAAAACTAATTCATAATACCATGAAAAATAATAAAATACTCAGGAATAAATTTAAACAAGGAGGTATAAGACTCACACAGTGTAGACTCTAAAGTTTTGCCAAAAGAATTGAAGAAACAAATAAATGGATAAACATCCCATGTTTGTAGACTGAAAGAATTAATACTGTCAATCTAAAGACTAAATTCCCTTGCTTCTGATTTCACTGAGAAACTTTAAAAATAAGAAGAGAAATTAATGATCTTTCCACATCACATGTACATTTCTATAGTACCTTGTCCTTATGTTTACCTGTTTTTTAATATTATGTCATTGATATAAATTAATTTAAATTATATCTTCTAAATTCCTAGATTTAATTAGGATCACTTAGAATGTTTCAATCATTATAGGCAAATCCTTGTTCTAAAAATGTCTTTATTAATAGAATATTGCAAAAAATTCAAAGAGATTTCTGGTTTCTTAGCTTTTAAATCATCTCAAGTTGCCATTTATGTTTTTAGTTTATACTGATTTTACTATTGATTTGTAAGAATTTTAGTTAAATTATTTCATATATTAGAAATTATTTAGTTTATCTATTTGTTTACTTTGGAAATGGGGATTGAACCTAAGTGCACTTTACCACTGAGCTACATCCTCAGTCCCTTTTATTTTATTTTATTTTTATTTTGAGACAAGATCTAAGTTTCTTAGGGCCTTGCAAGTTACTGAGGCTGGCCTTAAACTTCTCCTGTCTTAACACCCAGAGTCACTGGGATTACAGACATGTAACACAGCACCCAGCATATCTGAAATTATTTATAAAGCAGCAAAATGACAATATTTAAGTGATTTCTAATGAATTACTACTTAAATAATGCTTATATACTATTCATCCTTTCTCATTATTCTATTTAAAATTTTACTCTCCACTGCTACTTGTTCTTGTTAAACATTTATTCCAAAAATATTGTCTAACCTCAAACCTCAATTTTATGTAAAAATCATCGAATTAAAAGAAAATTTTTTATGGTGTATACTTACTTCAAAGTCCAAATCAAAACCAGAGCAGACCTCAAACATGTTTCTCTGAGTCTAAGGAATATTCCCTGAACCCCATAGGAACAGTGGGTGATTGTCATTCTACTTCTTTCTCTCTCTGCACAAAATAGATTTTTCAGTAGTACTGAAGAAGGTCTTGGCAAGTCTGAAATCAGTTATATTAAACAACGTATCTCCTGATAGGTTTACTATTCATGCATTTTATTCAAGAATTCTTTGAATGAACAGCTGGCCTGAAGATTAGGGTGAATTCCTAAGAATAGTAGCTTTCCAAAACTGAAGCCTATGCCCAGACACATCTAGATTATAATTTAATTCCCTGCCTCCAGTTAGAGCTCTATATTTAAACCAATTTATTCTTAAGTATTTGTATCAAATATATTTAATAATCCAGTACCTACTATACTCCTTGAACTATGCTAGATGCCATATAGTACACAGGTTTTCATCATCATTTATTTTAGTAACTACAGTTATTGTCATGGAATTCTTATTTAATCTTTAATTATCCAACCTATATTTATTTTTCTCTTTCTGCTATTGAAAACATTTGCCCATTCTTTCTCATATGTAACAATAACTATAAAAGTTAAATATCTTCTGCAATGTTAATATTTAATTCTCTCAGTTAATCTTCTAATGTGTAGCAGATGATTGGAGAACATAAACAAGTCTAGCTTTTTAATTTACCAAGTTAACTCAAAGATGTATATTTACCCTTTCCCTCAAATATTCATGGATGTTAACTAGGACCCCAGTTGTTTGGCATTCTAAATAGTTGGCAGTACTCATGAACTTTTATTGTTACAATGCTCTATAATAAATGATCCCTGAACGTCAGTGACTTACTATTATTTCTCATTAATCAGTGTGTAGATCACCTAAAGTGATTCTATTCAGGCAGTAGGGTGATTTCAGGTGTTCCCAATAATTATTTCAATTTCAAGATAATGAAGCTAATCCTTATTTGAGATATAACATTATCAGAGCAAATTGTAGATGCACAAGACTCCAAGCTTTCCCACACATATAAAGCATCTGTTCAGGTTTCCACTCACTTTCCTTTGACTACAGGAACTCACAAAAGCAAACACAATATCATTAGAGCAGAAAAACATGCAGTTATCTCACAAAAAGGGAGGAGAAGAATATTCGCTCTATCATAAAATTTATCATACTGGGAAACCTTGCTTCAATAATATTTATGTTTTAAATGTAAATAAGCTTTGAATTTCAGCTTGATTATAAAATATTTTACATTATGCTTGAATATACCTTTGCAACAAATATTCTTTATAATCATCATGTACCATTCTCTTAAATACATATGATTGTGTTTCCTACTTTGATGTTTTAAATTGTTTTTCTTATTTAATATTTTCTTAGTTGTCAATAGACCTTTATTTTCTTTATTTATATATAATGCTAAAAATCGAACCCAGGGCCTCACATGTGCTAGGCAAGCACTCTACCACTGAGCCACAACCACTGCCTTACTTTTTTTTTTTTAATCAGAGAATTCTTAGTAAATACTATTGCCTAATTACAGGCCGATGATCAAAAATTATATGAACATTTAGAGCAATTGATGTATAGTTCAGTGCATATTTCCAGTTTCTTTTATATTGTTCCATCAACTATTATTTAGATTATTACATGATTGATTTGATTTGTATTGAATATACAAAATTTGATTTATCATAATTTGTCTTAGTCACAAGCTAAGCTGCATATGTTCACAATACTTTCAAAAAAGAACTCCATGAATAACTTTTATTGTTTACTTATTTGTTTTGTGTAACAATTTTAGTAAATAATTTTATTACTTGAGAAACATAATACACACTATCAAATTCGTATGAAGAACAAAATAAAATTTCTCTATTGACTCCGAGTAACACATACCTACACATAAAGAGAGTACACACACACACACACACACACACACACACACACACATAGCTGTTAAGACAATGTGCTTTCTTTCTACATTACTTTCCTATTTTGGTTACTAGAAATTTATCATGCAGAAGAAAGTCCCAGGGCTATTTATAAGGTTTGGTTTGTAAGTATTTAGGTACCCTTTTTTCTATTGCTGCCTGAACATTTTGTGAAAAGTGAAGGAATGAATGTTTACATTGTTGAAATACTGAGGATATTCACTTTTAAACTTACAATTATTTTTTGATTTATTGATTTCTAGATTACCTTTTTCTCAATTTTTAAAATATGTTTTTGTCTTTTCCCTAGGTCTACTACCGATAGAAATCAAAATAGAAGGGGAGTCTCAATTTTAACGGTAAAATCTACAAAAATATTTTCTGTACTGTTCTGCAAGTCACTATTTTTTTCACTACCATTATGACATTGAGATCATCCTGTGTCAATTCATATGGATTCACCTTATTCATTCTAGATGATTCATAATTTTTGTATAAAATTGTTTAATATAATTGTGTGTATACATTAAAGGTTTGGAAGGATGCACACAAAATTATTGAGATTGAGAGAAAGGAAAATATATTCAATATTTACAGCTTATACATCTTTTTGCTTGAATACTTTTGAAAAAATATTTTAGTATGTTAACTGTACTAATTTTATAATTTAAAAATAACAGAAACAAGGTAGCCTGTAAATATGACAGCATTGAATTTTGTTATCCTAGAATGTATTTCATGACATCTGAGTTGAGTCAATTATAATTTCTCTTATTTTTCTACAAAAGAAATTAATTTTGCAAGTAAATACTAGATTCACCAAACATAGCTGGATAAAGATTGATGGCTCAACTTACCTTGTTTTTCTGAAGTCTCTTGGTGCTATGATTAGCATAGAAGTGTCTGGAGAATGCCTCTTACCTGCATGACATTTTTTAAAAAATGACTGAAATATGTTGAACAAACAAACAAAAATGTGGACATAGAATCATTGCCTAGCATGATTCAACCCCAACCCAAATCACATCATATGAAAAAAAATTATCATCACTAATTCATTCAGAAATATTAGGCTTTTCATCTGAGTTTGGGCAAAATACTTCATTTTCACCACATTTCTTGCTGTTCTCATCTCATGAGAATTTATATGGAGGACTTAAAATGTTTTTTATCATATGTCTACATAGGACAAATTTTTTAAATTTTCTTTACTTTAAACATATCTACCTACTCGTTATTTGTTCTCACTGAGCTAAAAACAATATTAACGATAAGGGAAGACACAAATTTGATCTTCATGAATGTTAACTTGTTTACAAGTTGGGTAGATTGTATAGGCGTAAATGCTTTTAGAAATACATATAAAGATCATATCAGTGTTAATAAAAAAGTTTATATATAAGAATGTAGGTAATTTTTTAAAGAATGGATACATTCTGCTGCTGACTTCAACTTGTCATCAAATGCCAATAATCAGATAATTATTATATTTTTATATATATTTTTAATTGTACACAACACCTTTATTTTGTTTGTTAATTTTTATATGGTGCTGAGAATCAAACCTAGGGCTTCTCTCAAGCTAGGCAAGCACTCTACTGCTGAGCTACAACCCCAGCCCAAATCACATAATTATTTGAAAGTCAGATTGCACTAATTCGAAAATTGAGAAACAATGTCATAGCTAGAGACTCCAACTATAAATGAGAACTAATTGTTCTAGAGAAAATAAGTATTTGTCCTAATATTTCCCAGTGGACTTTTATCCAAACTTCAAATCAATCTGAACCATATCTAGCAGAGAATGAGCAGATAAAGGGACAGATATGTATAAAGATAGGACTGGGGTCATGGCTCAATGGTAAACTGCTTGCCTAACATCCATGAGGCACTGGGTTCAATCACCAGCAACACATTAAAAAATTTAAAAAATAAAATAAAATAAAGGTAATGTTTCCATCTACAACTAAAAAATATATTTAAAAAGAAAAATAAAGAAATGGATGGGATGTGTGTCAGGTAAAAAGAAAATGTAGAAAACCAGGGCACCTTGACAACTTAGATCCAGAAAGTGATGTTGCCCATCTAGTATATACATTATCACTTTCTGTTTCATTACTTTTTAAATATATATATATATATATATATATATGTGTGTGTGTGTGTGTGTGTGTGTGTGTGTGTGTGTATTAGTTGTAGATGGACACAATACCTTTATTTTGTTTATTTATTTTTATGTGGTGCTGAGCGTGAAACCCAGTGCCTCACACGTGCAAGTGAAATACTCCACTGCTGAGCCTTAGCCCCAGCCCCTGTTTTATTATTAATAGTGGTGGATTGTGAAAGCCATTTTAAGGGGAAGAAAATATTCCTTACTCCATTTTGGTCTCCTACATTAAGACTATGCATTTGCAGACTTTTCTTCCCACTGTCTACATTCAAATTGCCTTATCTTCATGTAATTAACTGTATATTATTTATCATTTACTAAGTATTATATATAACATATATATTGTTGAGATACATTTTAATTATACACATATACATGTAACTACAAACTGAGTGAGTGCTTTAAAGAAATGTTACTCAGTTTTATAAACATATATAACAAGACACATAAATAGAATTGTGTGTGTGTGTGTGTGTGTGTGTGTGTGTGTGTGTGTGTGTCTCAGAGGTGATTGGGGTGGAGAGTCTGTCAGAAAAAAAATCCTTAATAAAATCATATATCTGAGAGTAAAGGAAGAGTAGAATCAAATGTGGTAATGGAGGTAGATAGGTGGGTAATAGGTAGATATGGTGCAATTAAGATGGTAGGAAGAGCATGTATAAATATTGTCTAGCAGGTGATAATATGGCACATTAAACTTACTACAAAACCATCAGAAGCACTGGAGTATAGAAAGATGGTTAAAAATTGTAAATTGGCCTGTATAGATAGTCAAGGCCAAATAATACAGGCCCTCATCTCCATTAATGTTTTCAATATTTATTATAAAAATTATGTGAAGCAGTTTACAAATTTAAGCAGGATATGACATAATCATATATGTGGCTTCAAAATATTCATTTTGACTTCTACCTCCAAGAAGATTGAATATAGAAATTTCCCTATTTTGTCCACTAATTACAACTAAAAATGTTGAATATCATTTATAAAAAAAACAAACATATTAAAATTCCAAAACCATAAAGACGAAGGCAGACAAGTAGGGACACTCAGGATCCAGGAAACACCACAGTGTTAAAGTGGTGTTTTATTTGCTTTATATATCCTAGACTAGATGCTGGAGGAATCAGCAACCTGAAAATGCTAACAGGTACAGATGAATGTGTCCCAAGAAAAGCGTTTTCCCCAGCTAAATAACAAGAAAAGGTGAATTATAGAAAAACAGAAAAATGTTGTACAATAATTGCTCTTCTCTAACTAAGCACAAACTTGAGTCTCCAGTTTTACATCCACCAGCAAAGACCAAGTAAGTGGAAAGTCTAGATTTCCACCTTTGCTAGGTTGTGTTGAGATACCCCAAACCCTAGTCGCCTGGCAGGTAGTAATTATCTGCTGCCCCAAGTCAGTGGAGACCACATGGAGAGCATAGACATGTGTTTGTCCAGCCATAATGAATCATCCCCTCACCCCTCATGCTGGTTCAGGTTAGAAGTGGCCTAATACAGGGTTGGAACTTTCACCACTGCCCACAGGTACCAAGGCCACCCCCCTGCCCAAAGTGTCAGCGGGAACTAGGTGGGGAATACTAAGGAGACACTATTATCTCTCTTAACTATAATGGTATCAACAGAGACTTAGTGGGAAGCCATCACTACAGAGGGAAGCCATCACTACACACCCCAGGCCCAGCAATAATTAAGTGTCATTCCTATTCAAGTATAAACCCAGTCTAAGGGGGACCTGGTACTCTAACTCAATATGGAAGTATCTACTTGTACCATCTCTTCCTTTCATTATTTTCATCTTTATTATTTAGAAAAATGTTGTTTAATTTCCATATGTTTGGAGATTTTCTTCTTATAGTTTCCTTAATGCTTTTCTATGTTTGATTCACCTGTGTTAGAGAACAGATTCTCATTTCCATTCTTATAAGTAATTTCTTGAGGTTTAGTTTCATGCCCTAATATTTTATTTGTCCTGTTTCTTAGAACTCTCCTTCCAAAAATAATAGAGTGCACATACTTTTCAAGCAATTTAAAATGGATGGAAATCATACAGAGTCTAAAAATATGTGGAACATAGAGTAAATCACAAAAGGAAATTTATATATATATATATATATATATATATATATATATATTTAAATGGAAATGAAAATATATCAACATGAGTGGTTCACATCTAAAGCAATGAGAAGAAAATTTGTACCATTGAATGGTTCCATTAAAAAATAGAAATAGTCTCAAATAAATAAACTAAACCTCAGTTCAAGAACTTACAAAAAAGAAGAGCAAAATCTGTACAAAAGTAATCAGAAGGAAAGAAAATATTAAAGGTGAGAACATAAACGAGTGAAATTGAAAACAGAAAAAACAAAAGAGAAGATCAATGAAACAAATATATACTTTTATAAAAAGATCAATGAAATTGAAGAATTTATAACAAAACTAATAAATGAAAAATACCAATATCAATAATAAAATGAAGGTATCACTATATACCTGGCAGTTGTAAAATGGACAAGAAAAGAATATTATGAAAAACTCTACACACATGAATTTTACAACTTAGATGAAGTGAACCAGTTTCTCAAAAAGAACAAAATACCACAGATCACCCAAAACAGAATAGATAACTTTAATAGGCATGTAGTTATTCAGAAAGTTTAATTTATAATTCAAGACTTCACAAAAATAATCTTTTGTTTCAAATTATTGCATTGAAAAATTTTATCAAATGTTTGAAGGAGAATTAACACCAATTAAATACAATTTCTTTCAGAAAATAGAATAGGAACCAGACATTATCCATTAATTCTTTGAAGGTAGCATCACTTTGATATCAAATTCAAAGTAAAAAACAAATAAAATCTATAGAACAATACTCCTAATAAATATAGATGAATGGCAGATACATAAATATTTCACACAGTATTATCCAATTGAATTCAGTAATAAATTTAAAAATGCATCATTCCATAGTGAAGTTTATTCCAAGGACATAAGGCTGGCTCAATATTTGAAAGTCAATCAAATAATAATAATAATAATAATAATTAGAATAATTAGAATAATAATATTAACAGCCTGAAAACAATCCCACTGCAATAATATAAATAGCACCTACACAAAAGCCTGCAGAATTATACTGAATGGTGAAGGATTTAGTGTTTTCCCACTAAAATCAGGA